GGTAGGGCTCCAAGGAGAGAGATTTTTTTGGCAGTCTTCCATGCTGTTATAGCCGCTACGGGCGCATGTAATGGCACGCTAAAGAAATCCATCAAAATCAAATAATCGCGCGTGCAATATTTTGAGTTTCAGTTCACCGACAACTTCTCTTTGGCGAGAATTTTAATCGATTATCAGATTATCATTATTGTGTTATTAAACGAGCCAAAAACAATGCGCCTCCAGCGAATGAAATCTCCGAGAGGCACGAGTAGACGACGAAAACTTATTTCCAAGTTAAATTTCGGCGAGCTCGTCTTTGGCGGGATATTTGTGTGCAGGGATTGTCTGAAAAGATATTATCTCGCGGGACGCCAAAAAGTTGTGCCAAAAGACGGCGAGTAATTTTCGCCGAGGGGTTTTCGTTTGTGAATGCGCTAAAGAGATTTCAACAGACGCGCGAAAGAAGACACGGCGAGCCATGGAACAGCGTGTATAAATCCGGCGAAAGCGAAGTATGTAACGACAGTTCAAAGTGCGCGACCGAGGGCGTGCGCTTATTGGTTGTAAAACGAGAGCCCATCTGCCCATGATACGAGACACCGGTGAACCCTAAAAATCGACTCCCGCCCGCTATCGATCACAGTAATAAGTCATGAGCATCCTCGCCGGTACGACCGGGGTGTACCGAGTGTGTCTAAAACGCGAAGTATCTTGATTAAAAAATTCTTCGATCCCACCGTTGCGATTCCACCGATACAAAGAATCGTTTTTAAAAGAGAATATTAAATTGCACTGAAAAAGGTCCCTCGGTTATCAGACCGCGCGCTCGCTGTTTGATGATTGTTAGGAAAACAGGTCGAACAGAGTTACCGTTGCAAATTATTTCTTCTCATCATTTGTCATTTTAACTCTAGAACGGTAGACACGGGTAAAATTTACTCAGATTAGCATTTATTAAAAATAGATATTTTGTTTCATTCATTATAACTTTCTTCAACTTCATTGAACCGTTAAGACATTAACAAACTCATATTCCTTGATGTTTTCTATACCGATTAAATAAAAGATCCTATCATTTTTCCGAAAGTTAAGCAAATGAAAATGCACAAATTTACCCATGCTTAGAATTTTCGTAACTTTTTGATGTTTAAAGTTCTACGGTTAAGAAATATATATATTGTCCGAGATATAAATCATTTAGGTTAGGTTATATTCCCCTAGAAAATAAAGGCGATATATAATATAAGAGTCGATCGTTGAATGTAAGTACGAGTAATTCTAAATTGCGAAAGGATATAAATGTTTGAAAATGTCGCGTCGAATATTTTTTTCGGATTTGCAACGGAGATTTTACCTTCAAATCAATCCTGAATTCCAACTGTTAATATTAATATTAGTCTGGCCTATAATAGTTGTCACCTGACTTATGTTTCATGCAAAATATTCAGATATTCAGATTTAGATCCAAGATTTTCAATTAAACTAAAATATATGTGACATTTGTATCGTTTCAACTGAAAAATTCATCTGAATCTAAATTGAGATCTGAGTATCTCATTTGAGACGAGATTTAAGTAGTAATAAATGTAATTAATAGTAATAATCAATAAGCACATATGTGGGAAGGGTGATTTTTGATCGTAGACAATAGAATATCCAAATGCAATCCAAATGCAAGAAGCTAATATAAAATGCAAATACTAATGCAAGATACTCTATAGTTGATAATGGTCAAAAGAGAATATATCTGAATAGGATAAAATACAAAGTGCCGTGGAGTTCATTTCGTAGATGAATAATAGACTAATGAATTACGTCCATCATCAGACGTAATCATTGCTGAGCTGTCGACGAGCCATATTTTCGTTTCATTAAAGCGACGTTCTCACATACTCTACGGGACATTTTTCATGAGTCCATGTTGCGAGCTTATTTACAAAAAGTCGTGATACAAAGTAGAAACTAGGAGAGAAAGAGAGGTGTAGAGAGAGAGAGAGAGAGAGAGAGAGAGAGAGAGAGAGAGAGAGAGA